GAAAAAAAAAAAAAAAAAAAACCAGTGCTTTCTGTTTGACGCGTTGGAGGGTCTGTATACATGCAAAAATAGTATAGCCGGTCGGCTATACTAGATTCTTTCTGAAATTTTTTTAAAAAGTATAGCCGCGCGGCTATACTATTTTTCCTACGTTTTCTGGTCAAAAATTGTATTTGACACGTGGCCCCTAAGCCCTGGTGCATCCCTTTTCTATATATATATATAAATGGTATAGCCGTGCGGCTATACTATTTAAAATGAAAATTTAACCTGAAAAAAAATATGTTAAAAAATATAAAATTAGTTTCTTAACTTTTGTTTGTTGGCCTACTTCTTTAATTTAATATATGTCATTAAGTAATATGTTAGCCTTTTTTAATTACTTTAATTAGTAATTATATTTTAAACCACAAATAGAATAATGAAATTGAATATGGCGTTTGCTACACTGGGATACAACTTTCGAAATCAAAGTCCTAGCACTAGGGCTTTTATTTCTAGCGAAATTTTTGGGTTTATCTATGCGGCTATACAAGAATGATGATATGAACGTTCTCTGCGAATTTATAGGACAAACTCAAAATATTATTTAAAATTAATTCAAATAATTAATTAACTAATCGGGTTTAATTTGAATCACAGAGCCCAAGAGGCCCAAGGCCAATCTTTTGGTTAATTAAGTATACATTAATTAACCATTGACCTAAAGGTCATACCCAAAAGCCACTCAATTGGGCCACTTGCGTGTCCAATCCAAACTACTCTATTTGCAAGAGCAAGTCTTGTAAAGACCTCCATGGAACTCTAGTGTTCCATTGTGGGACTATTTTCAACTCAAACATGTGAGATTGTTGATGAGAGTTCACCATAGAAACTTGGTTTCTCTTATTGGGTATTGCGTTGAAGGTGACACTGTGACACTTGTTTATGGGTAAGTGGCCAATGGAAAGTTGCCACACCATATATTAGCTGCAGGTACAATACTCTTATATATTAATATTAATATATTTTGGACTTAATTGTTGCAATGGTCTCTAAACTAGTACACCTGAGTTGTATTTTCGTCCATGACATCCAAACCATAGACATAGACAAAACGTAGACAATCAGGAGAAATATATATTTCATCAGTCATTAGTTATTAGTTAATCTATTGATCATGAACAGGGAGATTTTGCACTCACCTATGTAGTGTATAATTAAGTGTTGTTGGACCAGTGTCATACCGCACGGCAAGTGCCAAGGTATCAGTCGACATTTGTGTTCCATAAGAAGCATTAGGCAAAGGCCGGAGTTCTATCGCTGATATAAATGGAACTCCGGAGGCTGTGTTCACCAGACAAACATGTATATATAGTTTCGCAGTGTGACATGAATTAGCTCTTTGATTGTTTTTGCTTCTGAGGCATTGCTTCTAGGGTTATTTGTAGCAATGGCCCTTCAATTATACTTGGAGTTACATTTTGGTCACTTAATTTCAAAAATAGTTACAGAAAGGTCACTCAATTAGGTGTTGTGTTGCACCATTAGTCCCAACCGTCAAGAAAGGTCCCTTAACTCCAAAAATAGTTACAGAAAGGTCATTCAATTAGGTGTTGTGTTGCACTATTAGTCCCTACCGTCAAGTCTCTCTAACTTGACATGTATATTCCCATATCATGTGATAAGTGATTGATTAAGAAATGTGATCTGTATAACATTCCTCTTTTATATAATAGTGCCCAAGTTGTCCATAACTGTTCCTAAATTTTTTGACTGGTCTTGGGTACGGCTTTTGGTACCTATTTTAATGTAAAGGATGCGAATCTCTACATTAATTGACTGATCTAGATTAATCTTAAATGTTTTATTTTTGTCTGACAACTCAAATGTATGTGGAAGTGGCTGACTTTAGTGGGTCAACGGGCTTGAGTTAGAGATCCATTATTAGTAGATTCCATGACTTGAGTAGGTCAATAGGCTTGAAACATCCATTGTCATTTGTTAAATGGGCAATTTGAAATAGTTAAGTATGCACAATCCAATTTGAGTTTTTGATCATGCCCTAGAATACCATTACGCTATGTGCTTACCTTAGGAGTTAGGAAGTTCCTTCGTACTGGAATACCATTATGAAACATTTGCAATACATACATAATACAACCTGCAAGGATTGAAATAATATAATCCAATCCCATTATTTTAGTACGTACTACTACCTACCTGAGGGACGTAGCATAGCGATTGAATTCTGAGACATCATCTCAATGGAATTTCCTATTTCAGTGTGATTGCTGCTCTGCTTTGTTCGAGCCAGTTCGGTTGCCAAACACTCCTCTAGTTCCGCCAATACCTGGCTCATGGATGGCCTGTTGATGGGGTGTTTAGATACACATGCCATTGCTAATTCCACAGCTTTCCAGACGGAGCTAACATTGAAACTTCTCTCTAACCTTGAATATTAAGGATGATGGGTATATAAAACAATAGTACTAGAGGGCACCAATACCGAATTAATATTAGTTATAATTTAAAATGCGTTGGGATTAGATTTGATATATCATTACCCAGACTGAAAACAAAAAACTTACTCGGGCGCAAGTTACTAAACAATGGTAAAGTTTGGTGTGGAATAGTTTCAATTGCAGCCAAACCTGATAGATATGCTTGTAAGTTTCCATTTTCCATGTACTCGTACACAAGCCCTATGTGATTTTCATCATTGCAATATCCTACAAGGCTTGTCAAGTTAATATGATGAACTCTCATCAGAAGATTAACCTGGTCATGAACAAGACTTTTTTATAATTGTTTTTAAACAACACTTGAAAAGATTTGAAAAGCTGACCACATTTATTATTATTATTATTATTTTTAAAGGAAGTGGGTAGGTCTGACCTCCAACGTTATTGCCAACAATTTTTTATACTTTTTTCTTAAACACTATGAATTGAAACATTCAAAATCAAAAGGCTTTTTAAAATCTATATATATCAATGTTGGCCGTTAAAAAGCATATGGATGGGCCCCACTACAAATTTGGCTTAGGCCAAAACTGGGCTACATTTGGCCCGGTTGGAGGGCTAAAAGGCCAAATATGGCCCTCCAAATTTGACCAAAATTTTGTTTAGACCATGACTGGATATGAGTTTTGCATTATTTTAGGACTATATTTGGATATAGTCTATCGCTAGGGATGGCCAGTTAAACCGAGAAAAAACAAGGGCCAAACCAAGCTTGACCATTGCATATTAGGGAGAAACTGATCCTATTCCGGCTGGGTCTGGATGTGTGAAACCCGACCCATTGTACGAACCAATTACCCATCAAACCCGGTCCATTGCTTCTCTTCTGACTTCTGAGAGCTTGACAGAAACGCCCAAAACCAAAGCCCGCGAACGGACTCGGCTGCAACTGTACGGACACCGGTGTCTCTGAATTTGGTGACGGTCGACGGAGACCCAGAAAAGAATTGTGGTGGTGGCGCCGGTGGTTGATATGTTATGGATGAGATTGTGGAGGAGCAGGAGTTGATGCCCATTTCTGAGAAGAACATCGACAATGGTGAAGAGGAGTTTCAGAAGAAGGTGGAGATCGTTGTGAGAACCATAGGCCCTGCTCCCCCTTCTCGTCTCCATGTCCCTTCTCCCATCAGAGTACGTATTTCTTGCCCGTCTCTCTTTTAACATCTGTGTATGTTTGTATATGGAAGCATGATGAAGCCCCGGAGACTCAGATTGCATGTGGAAAAGTAGTTATGCTTGTTCATTTTCTGTTCATTGTAATGGTTTGTATGCATAATTGATTAAGACCCAGATTAGCAATTCTTGATTGTTTGAGGCTGTTTGTGACTCCATGAATTTAACACCCATTGGTAAGAGGAAAATTGAAAAATTGAAACATTGGCCAAGTCAAGCAATTAACCAGTTGTTAGACATGACCAATTGTTTGTGGAATCTTCTTTTCACTGTTGTTGGTCTCCTAGTCTTACGGACTCATATTGGGTTTTCTAGACCAATCTGTCAGGGAGCTAATTGAACCTAGAATCAAGGGTCTTTTTCTTCTGCTAGCATTAAGGGTGTGTATATGTTTCTCTTTGCCGGAGACCTCTACGTGGACCAGAAGCATGTTGGCAAATAAATTAAGAATGCATGCGATAGATTTGGTGAGATCGCATTGCCTCTAAGAAATACTCTTCAATTATGTTGCTTTATTACAATCCACAACCTTTTCCGCTTTATTACAATCGCATTGCCTCTTAAGGATGTGCGTTGTTCCGTATGGTGAGGCTAAATTCCCTTGTTTTGGACAAATGTTCTTATTTTACCATTTAAGGGAGCCTCTTACCTGTGGAGTTCAACTTTAGAGCCTGCCCTGTAAAGCAGTTTCATTTGCCATCTTGATGAGTGATTCCAATATTTCACAACATGGAAGTGTCAATTGGGATAGTACTGGTTTGTCATTCTCTTTCGTTAATTAAACCCTGCATTAGGTGCCAATATTTGTATAACTCTTAGTTACTGAGAGGGTGAAGCCTTAAAATAAGAAAACGAAATCCTACATCTAATGATAGTTACTTGAGTATTTTTTGTAATTCACTTGAATTTTAGCTCTTGTAAAACAATAAATTTTGGTTAAACAACCAGGAGCATATGATAGCATGATAACTGCTCTCTCTCTCTCTCTCTCTCACATAGGGTCTGCATTTGCTGGGACAACCAATCCTCTAAGCTTTATATGCTTCCGCTTCAATTAATTAAAGCAATCTCTCAGAAAATCTAATACTAGTGTTTGCTATTAATTTTTGGGAATGCGCTTTTGGAGTGATGTGGAAATGTTTTGTGATTACTAAAAACTGGCAAGTTGTTCTATTGTAAAGTCTGGAAGTGCAGGGTTTGAAGTCAAGATGCTAAATCTCAAGGGTGATTGTGTAATAACATATATGTGTGCGCGGATTACTTTAGTGCGTGAAGATACGTGAAGATACTTCTCATGAATTCATTGTTTTACCTTTACGTTGTTATTCTGTCAAACACTACAATTAGTTGTAGCTAATCTGAGATTTCTGACATAACTAAACCCATGCTTTCTGTAAAATATCTACCAGAACCAAATATATATCAGATGATTCTTAATGTTTTAAAAGATTTATTGTTTCATAGAATTTTATTGTATGTTGTTATACGGAAAAATATGACTGTAATAGCACTGATGTGTGAGATTTAAAGTTGAACGTTATCACATATTAATGTGCATACACTTTCTGTCATAAACAGGTACATGATTTGAGAAAATTGATAGCTGAGAACGGCCATTTACCAATCGAGAAGTTGAGGATTATATTGGGAGGCAATGTATTGCATGATAGCAAAAGTGGGCACGATGAGTACCTACAACTCAGCGATGGTGGTATTGGTCTTGTCTTAATATTTATCACTTGATTTATATTTTTATCTCCTTATATATATGGTTAAGTAAATGTAAGCTTCACATGAGTTTCTTGCTCGCATTCACCTAGAAATTGTTTGGAGTTTTCACTGTATTTTTGTCCAAACTTTTAGGAATTGTGATTTGGTTGTCAGGAGTGGTTTAATTCCATATTATTGGTAGAATTTACTTTTACAAAACTGCTGACTACTTTGACTTAATCACCTACCTGAATTACAGATTTTGATGGATCAAGGTTAAATAGTTCTTGATTAAACAAGCAACACATCATTTAAATTTTTCATGGACCTTGCCTTTTTTTTTTTTTTTTTTTTTGTCTTTTGAGCAAGGTTTGTTACCTTGGAATGATAGAGAAAAGCAATTTCTTAGTTAAGATTCCTTGTTTTTTGGCTCATTTGGTGACAAGCTATTTCTTATCATATCTTTGTTTATTGTCAAGATTCCCTTATTGTTGCTGTCAAACCAAAGGCACCAGTTAAGCATATTAAGGATGGATTTGATGATGACGATGATGATGAAGATCTGGTATGATTGGATCAGTTCTCCTATTGAAAAGAGTTAATGCAATTTTATGTTACTGTGATTCAACTGATGGTATTCCCTTAATTTTTGTATTACCAGAAGTTTCATCTTCCACAATCATCAAGCCAGTGGAAGAGGACATTGTACAGCTTTCTTCATGATAAGTTGAAGCTTCCTGGTAGGCATCAAGCTGAGTTCTTGTTATCTACCAAAAAGACACAATGTACTGACAGAAAGCTCTTTTGTGTTTCATTGATAGATATCCTTTTGATGGCAATTTTCTCTCTAAGTGTGAAGATGTGGATTATTATCATTATGTGGTTTATTTTGGCACCCGTTGCCCATAGATGGGACATTGGCCCTTTGTATGTAAGTTTTCCTCGTTTCTCTTAGTTTCTGTTGTTTATGGACGCACACACTGTATCTTCTATAAAGTACCTCTTTGTTCTGCCATTCTTTAAGTTCTATTCAAAGCACAGATCACTAAACTGAATTTTTATGTCATTTATGTTTGTTATTGCTTTATATTTAGATACTGGGCACAGGTTTTGGTATCATCCTTCTGAATCTTGGAAAACGGCAGCCTGGCGATGTCAGGTATGCAGTCTATGGTGGATATAATCATTTGCTCTTGATCATGTAAATTATGGTTGTAGTGAAAGCTAAATTATTAGAAAAAAAACTGCATCATCACTATCAAAAGAAGGAAGTTACACAGAGATCTGTTTGGAAGGGGTATAAAAAAAACACAGAAAAGATTTACAACAATTAAATGAACATAGGTTATCTTTCCTTCCATGAGGAACTACCTGAGTACTTCCGAACTTGTGGCATGCTGAGACATGGGAAATTCTTGCAGTGTTTAATGGTATTTGTTGAACATTGCTCAGATATTTGTTGAAGACTCCCTTATCATCCTCTTGTAATTTATTGGTCAGCCAAAAATGTCTCAAATATTTCTGGTAGTTCCTAATTATCACTCCTTCCCTTCCTTCCCCACTGTACCCTCGCTCATCTGTGTCGTGGTAGCTTGTATGTCCTTCCATACACACAATAGGTCTTTTTGCATTTTATTACCTCTTAATAAATTTCTCAGTGAACAATATCAATATCTCAATTAATCTTTCAGGATCTTATTTTGTGGTTTGAAAATTGCAGTGCATATTCTATTTTCAATGAAGACTTTAGAGAGCTTCCTGGGACTCTTAATGCCGAACGTCTTGACGGGGACATACGAACAGGTCAGTTGTGAGCCTGGTACTGACCAGTTATGATCATCCATTATATGATGGTCATGTTTTGTGTATCAACAGAATAGCGTTTAAGATTTCATATTAATCCAACAAATGTGCACAGTTTTTTCTTTCTGGTCTTTTGTTCGGTTGATGAGTATATTGTAAGATTACAAGTTTCTTCTGATAAACTAAAGCAGCGATAGTATATTCTTATGTGTATAGTATTGTCCAGAAACACTTGCGAAGTGACAGATGTTTTATGAATGACCGGAGTAATTGAACCCAAATTTTTTATTTTTGGTCTGAATAATACTTAAAAGAAAAAGCCGAAAGGCAAGAAAGGGGGCTGAAAAGTCCAAGACCCCATAGAAACTGAAACAGACGAGCACGCCCCACTCAGGGAAAGGCTAACTGAGAAAGGACGCACCACTCGCTTCACAAAAGGATCATTATTTCTTCTCTATTTTGTAAGCATATTTGTAAATTATTATGTGCACAAATTTGGTGTTTGAATGTACTTACATTGATTAAAACGAACTTAGAAAATTCAAAAAGATCATTATTTTGCAAGGATTTTGTAGCTCTAGTGATTAAAAGCAGTTATCCATGCACCTGATGTCTAGAAAGAGGTACTTAATTTTTATTCTACCACCGCACGGATGCTAGTCAGGTGAAAAAAAGAGAGGAGGTATTTTAGAGTACCTCAAATATTCCATTTATGGTGATCTATCACGAATTCGATGCCAGTCGAACCTAGGACGTGTTGAGCTTTGAATGTAACACAAAGCCAACAAACTAGAAAGCGACTAGCGATAAAATGTCTTACGTTATTATACTTGAATGGATTCTAGTGGTATTAGCGGAAATATTGAGCCTCCGAAAACACAAAAACATGAAGAAAATGTCGATATTGGAATAGAAAATTTGAGAGAATTCATAGAAAGCAATGGAAGTATTAATGAAACTCCATAAGATGTTTGTTTAATCAAGTACTTACGACATTGATTGAAAGAAAAAACTTAATCGGGTAATTGTTGCTTTACAAATCGTTCAATGCATTAATTAGGGGTTTGAACTAATATTGATCCATGCTGTAGTTTTAAATAGAAAAATGGAAATACACTAAGAATTAATTAGAAAATAACAAGTGATTAGCTAAAGGTTTTTTTATTTTTTTTCCTCCAACGGACCTCACTAGTGTTCTTATGTAAAATAATATTCAAGGGGTTTTTTCTAATTTACTAATTGAGGGATACAAAGAATTTGTAAAAGTTAAAAGGATCGTTACTTCTTCATGGTTCTCGTGTGCATATTTCTATATGTACAAGCATTTTGCAAATTATTACATACATAATTTGGGGTGTGAAAGGGTCAAAACATAAGAAATTAATCGAAGAAAAATAATGACTTTTCTTTTTCCTTGGTCTAATTATCTCGTGCAAGCTTAAAAAAACAAAAAGAATTATTTACATTAATAATTCCTAAGGTTTTTGGTGATTTCACAAAATTCCCCAAGGTTTTAAAAATTACACACACTCTTTGAGGTTTCAGATTGTCTTCACAAAATCTCTTTTCGTTGATTACTCGGCCAAAAATTGATGATATGCAAATAACAAAATTAATCTTAATAAATATATAAGTTGGTTGAAGATTTTCGTACATTTTTTTTTTGTCGAATATTTTCGTACAACTTGGTTGAAGATTTTTAATTCTCTACAGGTCAGATAAATTTATATATATATTTTCCTTTATTAGCTTATTATTTATTCAATATAATTTTATATGCTTATGTGAAAGAACTTTTTTGATAACCAAGGTGGTTGGTGTGAGTGGTTCGGCACTCTCATTCCTTAAGAGAAGGTCAGGGGTTCGATCCTTGCTCTCGTATGGAGTCACCACTTTGGCCAGCACTTTACCCCTTACGGGCCGACCCGGTGTGAGCGGGGATTAGTCTGGGTTGTGGTTAAGGCTTAAAGGTGCCACCCATAGTTGGGGCCCATCCAGGACCACCCCGTGGTTCAAACCAAAAAAAAAAAAAAAAAAGAACTTTTTTGATGCCTAATTGAATAAAGAATTTTTTTTGTGTCTTCTAAAAACCCTGGCTCCGCCTGGCAGTCTCTGTGCGCTGTCGGAGAGAGTAATCAAAGTCCGCCATGCCTACCGTCAGCGTGGGACGGGATCGTCTGTTTGCAGCATTAGGAAGAGCTTACAGTGAGCTCTCAGTCTTCCCATTATTTCTCACTCTTCTCTTCATCGCATATTTAAGGAATTATTCACTTTCGTTCGTTTGTGTGTTTGAATTGAATTGAATTGAATAATGTGACAGCTCAGGAAGAGTTTGAAGAAGTATGCTTCAGTTTCGGCATCGAGCTGGACGACGTTGTAAGCAATTTTGCTGCTTTATCTTACATTGTTTTTGTATTTCTCTGATATATATCTTTCTTTGAGATGTTTCTCAAAAATTGTAATGATTAATTAATAATGCTGTGTTTGTAGACAACTGAGAAAGCAATTATTAGAAAAGAAAAGCATTTGGACGATGATGCAGTTGACGAAGATGAAGAAGTTATTTACAAAATCGAAGTTCCCGCAAATAGGTAGGTAGCTTTTGTTATTCGTTCTCTTATTTGCCTGTTTTGATTGAAACTTGATGTTTTATCCTAATCCATTTGATGGGTTGGTTTGAGATTTTGATATCAACATATATAATCCTTGAGTTGAGGCCAAATATTTTAGATAACATACTGCTCTTATTTGCTTAAGTGGGTAGGCTCTATTTCAGACTATCAAGGAGTAACTGTAGGAATTAATGACAATAATGACTTGTTGTATGATGTTCACATCACATAATATATAAAGTGTTGAACAAGTTCGTTATTTCATTTACACGCAGATACGATTTACTTTGCCTTGAAGGGCTGGCTCAAGCGCTCCGTGTTTTCAGTAGGGAAGAGGAGGTTCCTACATACAAGTTGGCCAACATTAGTAAGGAGTCCATGATTAAAATGCATGTAAAACCGGAGGTAGTTATATGATCTATGAAAAGGGGTGGTGTTTTTTATTTTCTAGTTGGTGTTTTTTATTTTCTGGTTGGTGATACTGTTTAGTTCATAGAGGCCCCTTTTTCAACTTGTAGACATCTTCGATTCGCCCTCATGTTGTCTGTGCTGTTTTAAGAGGGGTTACCTTCACTGAAGCAAGTTATAACAGCTTCATTGATCTCCAAGACAAGCTTCATCAAAATATCTGCCGGTAATGTTTTCTGACTCATAGGTCTGATTCTGAATTTAGCTTGGCATGTTCTCGATTGGTTGCTCCCATCTCCTCTGCATTCTGTTGCTCTAAAATATTTCTTTGATAATTTATTTTTATTGCCTTTTTATGTTGTATTGGAGTGACTTAGTCATACTTCTCTGTGAAAAATTTGGAATCTAGATGACCATTTACATTACACTAGATAAAAACGTAAGAATACAAAAGAAATCAGAATAGTTTGTTTAAGTGCTACAAGGGTAAGAATAGCAAGACCAATCAGAATGAATGCATGAATTTATGATAAGAGCTACTGCTTGTCTTTCTGCCCAAAGATTTCCCGTGGTTTATCAGTTGAAGTGCTTACATATTCTAATCATTTTACAGGCGAAGAACACTAGTTGCCATTGGGACTCATGACTTGGATACATTGCAAGCCCCTTTCACATATGAGGTGGGCTTTTGAAATTTGTTCTCTTTGCTATGGTTTTATATTCTGCAATTTTTTTTATTAATTTTTTTTTTTTGAGGGCTCACATGGTGTTGAATTTTGTACTAATTTATGGTAATAGTTTAGATTCCATGCCGGAATTTTCAGTTCTAGGAATGAAAAGTAGAAACTTCTGTCTTAGCCGAAGATCCCCTGATATTAACACGAGTTTCAGTGAAAGAACTTTTCATGTTTTTCTTTGATTGCTAAATTCTACTTCATGTATCTAAGACGGCAATACTACGTACTGTTGACTTACATTTGTCTTTCCACATTCAGGCTTTGCCACCTTCAAGTATAAATTTTGTGCCTCTGAAACAGGTACTTTTATAAGTTTTTTACTATTCTCAATTTTGTAGTTTATATGACTATGATTTTCTAATCTCTCTCTCTCTCTCTCTCTCTCTCTCTAATAGTTTGAAGATACTTGTTAATGGTTATTGTTAGCACTAATATCGTGTTGTTTTGATTTCTATATTAGGCGAAGAACTTCAGAGCTGATGAGCTCATGGAATTTTACAGAGTGAGTTCTTAACTGGATGCTTTTTAATCTGTCTTTGTTTCCACCTTTTTCTTTCTTTTTCTCCTTTCTGGAAGTGTTATAGTTAGTCTAGACCAAACTCGAATAGGCATTTTAGAAATCATTGCAATAATAGCTATTTCATGCACATCCTTGTTCAGAATCTCCTGTTTTATATGCCCTAGTAATCATGACTCATGAATGACATTAGGAAAGTAAAGTATCTTGCTTGATCCATATTTTACCACTGTATTCTTGCAGTCGGATCTGAAACTGAAGAAGTTTTTGCACATAATAGAGAACTCACCGGTGTTTCCTGTTTTATATGATAATAACAGGTATGATAATTTCTTTCTCATTCATTCATTATTATGGTCATTTCTAATCACCTTTTATCAACCTCCACTTTTCCTTCTATTGTTAAGAGGTTGAGTTCATAATACTGTTTCGAATGTGTAGTACAGTCTTGTTGACTCTATATAGATATATGGCTTAGCATTCTTTTTAAATCTTGATGAGTGATGTTAAGTTCATTTTGGCAGAACTGTTTTATCTTTACCCCCCATTATTAATGGTGCACATTCAGCAATCACTTTGAAGACAAAGAATGTTTTCATAGAATGTACAGCTACTGATCTGACAAAGGCCAAGATTGTTCTGAACACAATAGTAAGAAGCTGAAAGTTTATGATGCATTTATTTGCTAGTTTTTGGTTCCCACTTATTAGTGAATGATGGCATCAATTTATTTTCTTTTAGGTGACAGCGTTTTCAGCATATTGTGAAAGAAAGTTTGAGATTGAACCTGTTGAAGTGGTATATTCTGATGGAAAGTCATATATCTATCCTGATTTATCAATCTACAACATGGATGTTTCTCTATCATATGTTAATGGTACAATTGGAGTCTCTTTGGAAGCGGAAGAGGTATGTCAATAACTGCATTTTATCTATTCCTGTTTATTCTTTAATGTTGCTTACTGATGTCTGCAATAAGGTTATTATTTGCTTACTGCTCGTCATGTGATTGAC